AAACTACCCGATTTCAACCATCCAATAAAGTGGTCAGAATTTAGCAATTTTGCCAATTTCACACAAATTTCAAAAGATGCCAATTTCCAAATAGGGTCCAGAATAAACAAGACAGATATTCCTTGCGCTAAAATAACATTTCCTCTGTTCATTAGTCACGTCCCCAGGCCCTCTTACATTTCTTTTGCTTTCCACTTTGAATTTTTATTCTCACAAAAAAATAGAAGAGTTACTGTTATGCAGACTACCGCATTAGTGTAGAAATGGTATAAGTAATATCAGCGCACTTGTGAAAAGAATATTAGACTCGCCAGTTGATGTGTATTGGTCGCGTGGCATGATCTGTTTACTTTTGAACTTTGGCAAATATTGAACATTTCTGCTACTTTGAGCTCAATTTCAAGGTACTTTTCATTGTGAAACCAATAATCATCATCTCAATTTCTGTAATATGTCTTCCATTCTATAAAATGAGACCAGGAAAACTAGAATACAACCATAAATACCATACAAAAATACAGTGCAAAGTCGCTGTTTCAAACCAAAAACATGGTCAGTTTTTTTTTTCTCTCTCATTACACACTCTGTGCTGCAGGATTTTTTTATACTGTGCACTGACCACATAGACCAACTCTTTCATATGTAGGCCTACCAGCTTTCTCTCGCTAGATTTGAAGGCGCTAGAATTTATGCGTACTAGTAGGTCAATAACCCTGGTGCGTAAGCCGTACTAGTACGTCAGAAACCCTGAAAGGGTTAATAATGACACCAAAGCATAAAAGTAGTGATGGTGGCAATTCTTCAAACCCTAACAGAAACTGTGAAGTGCTTCCTGTCTGTGAAAAAGTGCTAACTCTAGACTTGTGCAAAATTTATCAATTGAACTTTATCATAAGTGTGTATGTGAATGAAAATTGACATATATAGGATTTGCTACTATCTGCAGTTTCAGGTGTCCATGGTAGGTCTTGGAACATATCCCCCATGAATATGGGGGGACTAGTGTACATGAGGAAAAGCAGAGAGCAGAGAACACTGCCTTGGGGCACTCTTATGTCGATAGGTCGCATTGATGAGGTTATATCCTTGCTGGAGACATACTGGTGTCTCTTGTTGAGGTAGGACTTTAGGTATGCAAGTACATGACTGTTAATGCAAAAATGTTCTAGTTTAACCCTTTCAGGGTCCAAGGCCCAAATCTGGAGTCACGCACCAGTGTCCAAGAATTTTCAAAAAAAAAATTTGTTATTTTTTCTTATGAAATCGTAGAGAATCTTTTTGTGAAGGTAATAAAACAAAAAGTACGAAATTTGGTGGAAAATTGACGAAATTATGCTCTCGCAAATTTTGATGTGTCAGCGATATTTACGAATCGGCGATTTTGCCGACTTTGACTCCCATTTTAGGCCAATTACATTATTCCAATCAACCAAATTCTTAGCTATTTCACTAGTATTACTTCTATTCTATCGATTGAGCACAAGAAATCGCCAAGTCAACTGTTTCAACTACAAAATAAAGTGATCGGAAATTGTTAATTTGGCCAATTTAACACAAAGTTCAAAATATTCCAATTTCAAAATAGGGTCCAGAATGAACAATGTAGGCATTCCTGGCACTAAACTAACATTTCCTCTGTTCATTAGTTATGTTTTGAGGCTTTACAAATAAATTCCATTTTGATTTTTATTCACATAATGAATTTTTATTCACACCAAAAAATAGAAGATTTACTGTTATGCAATACTGTAATAATTGTATAAATATCATCACCATATTTGTGAATGTATATTAGACCCACCAGCTGACGTGTATTAGATGTGTGAGGTCGTTTGTTTACTCTTGAATATCGGCAAAAATTTAACATTTCTGCTACTTTGAGCTCAGTTTCAAGCCATTTCCAGTGTTAAAACCAATCAAAATCATCTCTATTTCTGTAATATGTCTTCCATTCTATCAAATGAGACCAAGAAATCGCAAATACAACTATAAAAAACATACGAAAAAACACTGCAAAGTTGCTGTTTTAATCGAAAAATCATGATTTAATTTTTTTTCTCTCATTATACACAGTGTGCTGCAGGATCTGTTTTATGTGGTGCACACATACCACATAGATGTATTCTCTCATATCTAGGCCCAAATGTACCACTCACAGTTTATCAGAGTGAGCTGAGCTCATGGCGTAGATCTACGGTTTGGACCCTGAACATAAAGCCGTAGATCTACGGGACGGACCCTGAAAGGGTTAAGATGAAGGATGTTGTGGTCTACTGTATTGAAAGCTTTCCTAAGATCTATAAAAAGGTCCAGTGGATATTCATTATTCTCAAGAGCTGCATACAGTAGGTCAAACATTTTTGTAATTGCATCTTATAGATTAATGTTTTGAAGGTTTTGGACAACAATGGCAAGTTATATATAGGTGTAGAGTTGTTTACATTGATTGAGCTTCCTCCTTTATGTATTGGGGTGACTCTTGCTATCTTAAGTATAGTGAGGAACATGTTATTTTCTAATGATCTGTTGAACAATAATGCAATGGTGGATGACAGCACATGAGCTGCTGTTTTATACAATAGTGGTAGTACATGAGCTAAGTTACCCAACTTGTTTTTCAGTGAATTTATTATCACAAAGACTGCAGCAGGATTAGCTAAAGCCAGATAGAGCGAGTATGGAAACTGCAAGGTAGTCACTCGCTTGAGCATTAGTACTTGGTATTTTGCTAAAAAGACATGATCTATGGTAGAGAAGAAATCATTTAATGTATTGGCTGTGTCAGAAGGATACAAGGTTCACTGGGTTAGTTAGGACAATATCTTTGGTTTTGGTTAGTTTATGAGAGCCCAGGATTTGAGAGAGTGTACCAGGTCTTCTTCCTAGCAACTTTTACTGTACTGATCCTGCTAGCATAATACAGTTCTATAGACTTCCTTGTTAGTGTGGTAAGTACTGATGCACAGCTTTTGGTTTATTCTCTAGTTACTAATCCCCAAATATGTACTGTTTTTCATGCTTATGTTTTATATCAATTGACCAAAGGATGCTATTTGTTAGCCATGCGCTATATAGTTTCTTAGCTGTAATCTGCTTAGTTTTAATAGGACAATGTCCACTGTAGAGGCTTTGTATTTTTTGCAGAAAAATACTGACCCATTCATCAATGCCCCTGTCATCAGTAAACTCTTTGTGCCAGTTAATGTCACTTACTGCTGTAGTGAAGTTATTTAATGTCTCATCATAAAGATGAAAAGAGATCACACTAGCATTAAGTGGTAGCTTATATACATTGGTTCTGAAGGAGGTTGGGTAGCGATCAGTAGTATTGTCTGTGATTATCCCTGCTTTGAGGGAAGCTATTACTCCAGACGTGGCCAATTGTGGATGCACTCATCTCAGAGATTCTTGTTGGCTTAGTTATAGATGGTTTAAGCAAGAAATTATAAACGTTAAGTAAGCCAGCTACTTGAGGGTCCTCGACTTGAACAGTGTTAACGATGAAGTCACCAGCAAGTGTTAGGTGATGTTTGTTTCAGGTGTTTATTAGTTATTAGGTTCTTGAGATTGTTACTAAAGGTGGTAATGTAAGTATGAGGTAGACTGCTCCAATTGTAATATAGACCTTTAAATTTTTGGTTGAAAAATTACCAAATATGTATTCACCATATTCATCAATGATACATGTAGAATTACTACATATTAGGTCATTAGAGTAGTGGGTGGTAATCCCTTCCCCATTTGATCAGGCCTGCTGTGTACCTAAGTAAGGTAAAAATACCTGGTGTCATGTTTAACCCAGGTGTCAGTAAGAATAATTAGAGATGTTAGCATTTAAACAATCTAGGAGTCCTAGGTCATCACAATGCTTGTTCAGGGATCTAATATTGTAAATGAATATTATTATATTCTTGATGTTGCTGAGAACAGCTTTTGCTTAACTTGCTGTGTAGTAAAGACAGTTATTTTCAGAGTACTGTTTACCATTTTGATACAACAGGAGATTTAATCAAGGTCAATATTAGCATTCATGTACTATGAGGTGGCTGTCTCCACCAGGTAGGGCAGCTCAAAAGAGGAAACACAATCCAACATTAAATAACTGCCTTGCAAGAAGTGCGCTAACTTCACACACGTAAACATCACAATGAGGATAGTTCACCCATAATTAACAGAACATGGCTTAGCAAAACTGACTAGTAAGTAGACAGCATCAGAGGTATTAACATCATTTGAATGGTAATGGATGGGATTAAACGAGAAAGAACTCTGGGGGACATAAGCCTTCAGCTGTCATTCCTGGATCTGCAGGTGACCTCCGGTAGTACTTACACTATCAGATGATCCGATTCCTTCGAGTGGTGCAACCAACTCTGCATTACAAATGACATCGGAGCCAGGAAAATGACACACCCCCCACACCAAAACACAATGAAGTCTTTCTTGATCCTCAGCCAGTTTTCTAATAGGGAAAATTCCCAAATGAATGGGAAGAGTGCTGGTTTCTTAAGGTGACCCAACAATCCTAACCCATCATCAAGGTGAATCCAGCATCAGGGTTACACGTGGAAACATCATTCATGATGGTTGTAACACTAAAGCAGATGATGTAGCACGTGACTGATGCAGGACTGTTCAATATATCCAAACTGGATCAAAGTCTTCTATAAAGAATGGAGCAGAAATAAACACAAACTTCATTCAGATGCTACAATTAAAGTTGATGTAAATTTATCACTTATAGCTAGTACATTGTTTCAACCTCTGTGCAATATTTGGAAACAGTTAAATATTGAATTAATATTACTCTCCAACAATGGCCAAAATTAAAAAGAAACGTGTTTTTTTGTAAATGCTGTACAACAATACAAGGATATTCCTTCTTGCTTTCCATATGTATAGTTTGTTAAAAAAGAGTGGAAAAATAAGATTGAAGATATGAAATAAAATGGAATACAAAACTTTCTACAGCTGAATGTAGGAAAGTCTATATAGATTACCTGGTAGTGAGATAGGGGTTGAGTGCCCCTGTGGCCTGGTCTGTGATCAGGCCTCCTGATAGCGTACTTCATCAAGACAGCTGTTTGTGCTTGCATCGCGAGGCCCTTGTAGAACCAATGATAGGGCAATGGTAAAGAAGATATGTCACTTCTATAAAGGCTAAAAGATTTCCAAATAGAAAAAGACAGATGTGTTGAATACATTCTAGAAAGAAATTAAAATGTAAAGGTCAACTAGGTTAAGATCACTTTAAACATGCAGTTATATGACTGTTAGAGATTCACCTAAATGTACTGAGTGGCTAATCTATGTTTCTGCTTTTTAAATCAGGTATTGGCAGGTGTCAGACTGAAAATGGTCGACAGTGGAAATGTTTTGTGCGAAAATGTGCGAGTGAACAGATGTGTGGAGCTCACCTGTCAAGTCATCATGGGAAGTAGTGTAGAGGATATGAGTAAACGGAGGTGTAGCCCTCACCTGTCAAATCATCACAATGAGTGTAGTGAACAATGATCAAGCAACCCAGCGTGATCAAGCTAGTCAGCAGTGTGGAAGAAGTTGTTCACTCAAGACTCATTTGTATGTAAGTTGAAGATAGACAGGCGAGAGATGCGCTGCTCTGCGGTTCATCCACCCCATTTCTATGGAAAAGGAGGCAAAGATAACAAATCAATGATTTTTAATTTTACCGTTTTGAGTTTTGTAGAAAATAATGAGCACCCAGTAAGATTGGAACTCACAACACTGCAACATACTTCCATCCAGGAATGTGTCACCTCTACTGCTCAGTGACTAAATATTGCAGGGTCTTAGGTTCAAATCCCATTGGGGCTAAAGTTTCCCTATAAAACAATAGAAACCACTCACTTAACATGTTTCTCTTATTACCCCACTCACCACTAGGCCAAATAAATAATATGTGGAGAGAGAGAGAAAGAGATAGAGAGAGTACTCACTTCAAAGCACTAGAATGTTTTAGCTATTCAGCACTTTAAATATTAAGATTATATAAGAGATCAATGGTATCAATACCAATTTGTACTGCCATGACTAATTCACTCTCATATCACATAAATCATAATTACAAGGCAGGCAAAACTATTCAAAATTTATTTTTCACATTCTGCAATCTATGTCCATAAAACAGTCGGCATTAGGTGTGCACCCAGTGGGGAGAATGGCACTCTTTCCAGAGAAGCTTCCTACCAAGGTATAAACCACAAGCCCCACCACAGTCTTCAGGTGACCCAGCTTGTGCATATGGTCAGTGTCTTGTGCTTCACCTCGCTTTCCCCAAACCCACATCGAAATAAAAGTTAATTACAAATGTTAAATCGCAATTTAATGATCCGAGTAGTTGTTAAATGTATAACAACATTATCATTAACTGCACCTCAGAAAAATATTACCAGTAATTATAATTAACACATGATGCAGCAAAAGAAAAAAATCAACCAGACAGATAGCATTCTAAATGGGGAAAGAGACCTGAACAGCTGCAACAGTGATGTTACCACAGCTAATATAATGAGTAATTTCCTCTTCCTCACACACAACATAACTGGAACTTAAGATTTCAGACATTCAACTATTATATTACCAGGGGGAGGCAAACTTCACTAGCCAATTTAAAGAAAAAACTTGGCACTGTCCTATACATACCAATGGTCTCTGCAAATTAGTGTAGACAAAATCTCAACTTACAGTGCCTGTGTGTGATTACCTTACTGGAAATGTCCCAAACTTTCTATATCTATCACTAGTCTTACTAATGTTACTTCGATAATAAAGTAACTGAAAAACAAGACAGGAAACCTAACTGATATACCATCATTAATATATAAGAATGCTGCTCTTGTGCTATCATCCATCACTGCAACACTGTTCACAATTCATGAGAAACAAAAACTTTCTCAACCATACTTAAACAAGCAAGGGTTACCCAAATACATAAAGGCAGTGACACAACAGATGTTAACAACCATGGGCCAATATCTAACTTGCTATTTTTATCTAAAATCTTCAAAAAGCTAATTCACGAAAGGTTTACTCTTTCTTAGTGTTCCACAATACACTTAACCAATACCAGCTTGGCTTCTGGTCACGAATGATATAATAATAAGTAAAAATAGTAATAAAAGCTTGACCTAATTTATTCATTTCTTGATAATAGCAAATATTCTATGGGCCTCTTCGATGACGTTAAGAAAGCTTTTGATACACAAGACCACAACATCCTACTGATTAAATTAGAAATTCATAGTATGAGAGGGTATACTCTGATACTATAATCGGTACTTAAGGATCCACATTAACCCCTTGACTGTCGCAACCCCCAATCCTGAGGTGTCTCCTGGTGTCGCAAAATTAAAAAAAAAAATATATTTTTTCTTATGAAATGATAGAGAATCTTTTCCCGATTGTAACGACACCAAAAAAACGAAATTTGATGGAAAACTGACGGAATTATGCTCTCGCGAAGTTAGTGACCTCGGCGATATTTACAAATCGGCGATTTCGCCCACTTTGAGCCCTATTTTCGGCTAATTCCGTTGTTCCAGTCGACCAAACTCATAACTATTTCTTTAGAACTCCATTTTTTCTATCGATTGAGTACAAGAAACTGCCCATTTACCGATTTCAACTACCCAATAATGTGGTCAGAAATTTGCAATTTGGCCAATTTCACGAAAATTAAAAAATATGACAATTTCAAAATAAGGTCCAGAATGAACAATGCAGACATTCCTGGATCTAAAATAACATTTTCTTTGTTCATCAGTCATGTCTCCAGGCCCCTCTGATATTACTCTTGCTTTCTATTTTGAATTTTTATTCAAATAAAATATAGAAGACTTACTATTATGCAGACTACTGCAATACTATAATAATTGTATAAATAACATCAACCCATTCATGACTGCATATTAGAATGGTTAGTTGGACATTTATTGGACAATGACATCATTTGTTTACTTTTGAACATTGGCAAAATTAAACATTTCCCCTACTTTGAGCTCCATTTCCAGGTTCTTTTTATAGTAAAATCAATCAAAATCACCTCTATTTCTATAATATGTTTTCCATTCTATCAAATGAGACCAAGAAAATGAGAATACAACCATAAATACTATACGAAAATAGACCACAAAGTTGGCATTTTAATTAAAAAAAATGGTCGGAGTTTTTTTTATTCTCATTATGCACTGCGTGCTCCAGGATTTTTTTATATGGTGCACACTGACCACACAGACCCATTCTCTCACATGTGGGCCTACTAGCTTTCTCCTGCTTGATTTGAAGCCGCTAGAATTTATGAGTATATAGTATACGTCAAACACGGTACCTCCTAAGACTTATATATACAGCCGCGACAGTCAAAGGGTTAAAGACAGATATCAACATGTCACCATAATGGCATCACCCCATCAACTTGACCTATTAATGAAGGAATGCCTCTGCTTTTCCTCATCTACAATGACCTTCCCACTGCATCTAGGTAACTTATACCAGTTCTGTTGCCCCCACCGGGCATGCGGAGGCTAGACAGGAAGTTGCAGGTTGGGATCCACCAGCTGTGACTTGGCTACCCTACCGCCAGGAGACTCATCAAACGCGTGCGAGAGGAGTGCTGCTGCCATTGTGACCAGATGGTCCCCAAGCCACTAGTGCACTACCTTCTCGACTGCCCAGCGACGGTGCCACTCCGACGGAGGCACTTCCCAATGGCACCTGGGGACCCGACCCGAGAAGACACCACAGCCCGGCTGGTGTACCTGGCCGTCCGAGACCTGGGAACTCTCATCCCAGTCCTGGCTGCCCACCCGCCACCTTGATGACGCCACATATAGACGATGATTCGCCACTACCTCTCCCATCTTTCGACTCTCCTACCCCTCCTTTCTTCCTGTCTTTCACCCCCTACCTTCCCTTCCCCACCGCTAAAAAAAAAAAAAATCCAATGGAGCCTGTATTAGTTTACTAGGTAGAAGCCTGAACTTTCCTAGAGCCCATGCCACACAACCAGCAATTGTTGGGGCAACAAGTGCCCGAAGACCCTGGGCCCTAGACACACCTGCTGAAGAAGACCAAGATGACGCCTGCTGATGAAGATACGAAGTGAGACGACACTCCCCCCCCCGGGGAGTCACCGCAAGAGAGATGATGTTACCCTCCACCCGGAGGGCCCAAGAAAGAAGACAGAAGAAAAAAGAAGATGAACGACACCCCCAACTCAGGGGACACCGCCGGGTCACCATCTGGAGAAGACCCGGGCCGGAAGTACCGGCAAATCCCTAATGAATGAATGAACCAGTTCTGTTTGCAGATGACAATTTTTGTCGTCTTCCATTCAGATCCTGTTCATCTTTTGTTTTAATAATACTGTTAATGAAGAGTACCCCCCCCCCAAAAAAAAAAAAATAGCCTACTAAAATGACAACCAATAGACTTTCTTAATATTGACAGCACCTTCTACATGATGTTTGGTAACAGACCTAAAAATGCACAATTCAGCAATGATAAAAATTCAATCATTATTAGATTAGAAAAAAATATTTCTAGATGGGGTTGTAAGAAAAGTGAATGCTCAGGTGTTGGCAAGAGGTGTGAGGTTAAAAGATATAGAATCTAACACAAAGTGGGAGTTGTTACAGTTGCTCTTTGCTGATTACACAGCACCTTTGGGAGATTCTGAAGAGAAGTGGCAGAGTTTAGTGGATGAGTTTGGTAGGGTATGTAAAAGAAGAAAATTAAAAGTGAATATAGGAAAGGGTAAGGTGATGAGGATAACAAAAAAAATTAGGTAATGAAAGATTGGATATCAGACTGGAAGGAGAGACTATGGAGGAGGTGAATGTATTCAGATATTTAGGAGTGGATGTGTCAGCAGATGGGTCTATGAAAGATGAGGTGAATCACAGAATTGATGAGGGGTAAAAGGTGAGTGGTGCACTTAGGAGTCTGTGGAGACAAAGAACTTTGTCCAAGGAAGCAAAGAGGGAAATATATGAGTATAGTTATACCAATGCTTTTATATGGGTGTGAAGCATGGGTGGTGAATGTTGCAACAAGGAGATGGCTGGAGGCAGTGGAGATGTCATGTCTGAGGGCAATGTGTGGTGTGAATATAATGCAGAGAATTCGTAGTCTAGAAATTAGGAGGAGGTGCTGGATTACTAAAACTATTATCCAGAGGGCTGAGAAGGGGTTGTTGAGGTGGTTTGGGTATGCAGAGAGGGTGGAACGAAATAGAATGACCTTGAGAGTGTATAAATCTGTAGGTCCAGGTCAAGGTCAAGTTATTGCAGCAATAACCTTGGATAACTTTAAACCTAGTTAGGATGGGTACACGCATGAGTGCGAGTTGAACCTGCCTGGCATGGGCCCATGTGTTCAGTGTTACACCATTCTTGTGTTCAGCTGTATTGACCTTTTTTCCCATTTTTTACGTATCTCAATCAGGTGTGCTCATTGCACAGGCTCTCGTCTTCACCTCATTCTTCCTAATTGTATGAATTATTTTGTTTATTCCAAGTTGCATGTAGGTCATCTCCATCACACTTAACTCATCACACTCAAGCTCATCTAACACTCCTGTTTTTTTTCCAAAATGCAAATATTTCCAATCATATTTTTCTTC